AATATTGTACTCACTAGCCCTTCCTGAGGAAATAACAAAGGCTGAGCTTGAACAGGTATAGATGTTTAGGAAATTTTCTGCAAGAAGACTGCGATATTTCCTCATTTCATCTCAAATGAAATGAGACTATTTCATTTATTTATTTACTTTTCAAAAAAGTGTGAGGAATCATGGCATCACGCCGTTTCAGTAGCTAGGCGACTTGGATCTTACTCATCAGCCTGCTGGACTAGTCCTTTTTCAGAAATAGATACCATCCCCCAAATTTTCTGATATCCTTGTTTTTAATTGTTTTGGCTTTTTGAATCAAAGCAAATTTTATGTAAGTCCAGTGTCATTTCCTTCAAGGATTAACTCATCTTTCTGGGCTTGAGGTACTAACCAAACAACACCAGACCTCATGGGAACTCTGCAGATGTATTTTTTTTTTTTTTTTGCCCAAGAAATTTTGAATTTCAACAAGAGAACCGTTCTGAATATCCATGTTGATGGGGAAGTGAGCGTACATAGACTTCAGCTTGTAACTGAAGACCACTGTGACACCCTTGATCACATTGGGTACATGGCCGCAGAGAGTGGAAGGTAGCCAGTTCCTTTCTATTTCCCACTATTCATCAACCCAGAGCCTCTCCCCCCGCCCCCCCCCCCCAAGGAGACTGAGTTCTACATCAGTGTGATTGAAGTCCCTCCACAGGCTGCCTCTGGGGCCCTTCGCAATAACTCTGCATCCCTTCAGAGTACTGTTGACATTTTCTGGAATGTCAACAGTCTGCTGAGAATGGTCTTCATTCTCAGAGTAGATGCAGCAAAAAAAAAAAAGTTTCATTTATCTCTTTGAGCTAAGGTTGAAATCAAGAGTAGGGACATAAGTAGAAGAAAGTACCTATATGTTACACGTTCTTGACAAAGAATGCAACTAAATAATTAGCTGAGGGGAAAGGGAAAGAAAAACTAGAATAAGATTAGCTGAGGGGAAAGGGAAAGAAAAACTAGAATAAGATTAATGAGTATAGGTTAGCTATTAGGAGTGATGCAGGAGATACCATCTGAAACTGAAAGACAGAACAAGTTAGGTAACAAAAATATACCCAGTATACTCTAAAAGGTACAGGCGTACCTCGTTTTATTGCACTTTGCTTTGTTGTGCTTCTCAAATAACTGCATTGTTTTTATGAGTTGAAGGTTTGTAGCAACCCTGCACTGAACAAGCTTATTGGCACCATTTTTCCAACAGCATTTGCTCGTTTTGTGTGCCTGTCACATTTTGGTAATTCTGTCAGTATTTCAAATTTTTTCATTATTTGTTGTGATAATCTTTGATCAGTTATCTTTGACATTATTATCAAAACAATTACCATTGTTTTGGGGTACCAGGAACCATGCCCATACAAGACAGCAAACCTAATTGAAGTCAGTGCCTAACTTCAAAGGACAGGCTGACTCTCTCGTTAGGGACTAATGCAGCTGGAGACTTTAGGTTGAAGCCAGTTCTCATTTACCATTTTCTAAGTCATAGGCCCCTTAGAATTAGGCTACATCTATTTGGTCTGTGCTCTATAAATGGAACAACAAAGCGTGGAAGACACCACATCTGGTGGCTAACAACATGGCTTACTGAGTATTTTAAACCTACTGTTGAGACTTACTGCTCAGGAAGAAAAAGATTCCTTCCAAAACATTACTACTCGTTGATAGTGTACCTGGTTACGCAAGAGCTCTGTTGGAAATGTACAAAACAAGGTTAATGTTTTCATGCCTAACACACCATCCATTCTGTAGCCCATAGATCAAGGAATAATTTTAACATTCAAGTCTTACTATTTAAAAATACATTTTATAAGGCTATAGTTGCCATAGGTTGGGACTTGAATAGACACTTCTCCAAGGAAGACATACAGAGGGCCCATAGACATACAAAAAAGTGCCCAACAATCACTAGCTGTCAGAGAGATGCAAGTTAAAACCACAATGAGATACCACCTCACACCTGTCAGAATGGCCATCATTAATAAATCAATAAAGTGCCACTGAGGATGTGGAGAAAAGGGAGTCCTCATACACTGTTGGTAGGATTGCAGACTGGTCCGGCCACTGTGGAAAACAGTATGGAATCTCCTCAAAAAAATATTAAAAATGGAACTGCCTTTTGACCCATTGATTCCACTGCTGAGAAATATACCATAAGAATCCTGAAACACTGATTCAAAAGAATTTACGCACCCAAGTGTTCATAACAGCACTATTTACAGTAGCCAAGTGCTGGAAATAGGCTAAGTGCCCATCAGTAAATGAGTGGATCAAAAAACTGTGGTACATTTACACAATGGAATACTATGCAGCACAAAGAAGAAATGCCTACCTTTTGTGACAGCATGGATGAAAGTGGAGGCTATTGTGCTAAGTGAAATAAGTCAGTTGCTGAAAAAACATACCATATGGTCTTACTTACAAGAGGGATCTAATGAACAAAATAAACCAGCAAGCAAAATACAAGGAGAGACATGGAAACACGGAACAGACTGACAGTGGTCAGAGGGGAGGGGGGACGGGGTAATGGTGGAAAGAAGGGGAAAGGACTAGTTAAAACACAAAAGAATGACCCATGGACACGACAGCAGTGTGGGGATTGACTGGGAGCATCTGTTGGGCTGGGCGGGGGGTGGGGGAGTGGGGCAATTGTAATAGAAGAACAACTTTAATGTTGAAATGACTAAAGGATTTAGAATATTATGTGAATGTAATGAAAAGCAGTAAGGTTTGAGAAGACTGACTCCAATTTTCAAAGACATTCTGTGGGTAAATGCTATCAGACAGCATCGCACACTGTAGAGAATGTCCATGAAGGTAAGAGTCAATGGATGTGGCAACTTCATCGTTGTCTTATTTTAAGAAATTGCCACAAAGATTCCAATCAAGATGGCAGCATAGGCAGGTATGACTTGCCTCTTTGCACCACCACAAAATTACAATTAAATTGTACAACAACTATCACTCAGAACTGTCAGAAATCGAGTTGAATGGAAGCCTGACAACTATGGAATTGAAGAAACCACATCCATCCAGACTGGTAGGAGGGGCACCGATGCAGAATGGACTGGTCCCACATCCACATGGTGGATAAAACTTCAGGGGGCATATCTCAGGAGTGAGGGGTCCCAGGCCCACATCAGGTCCTGCATTTCAGGGCTCCAGTGCCAGGAAGATAAGTCCCTACAACTTCTAGCTGCAAACACCAGCAGGGATTGAGTTGATGGAAGAAACTGATAGAGCCCCAAGCAGTTCCTCTTAAAGAACCCACACACAGACTGACCTATTCAGACTTACTCCCTCTGGGATCCGGAGCCAGGCAGGCAGCTTGAGGGGCACCAGTGGTGTGCAGAGGGAGGCTGAGATGTTTGTTATCAAAGCAAGCAGAGCCATTGTATGTTTTCTGGTCCTTATCCCACAGAGCCAGCAGACTGGTGCAGTATTTAAGATTCCATCAATCTGGCCAACAGTTTGACCTGCCTTGGAGTTCCCCAGAGACCCTGCCCCACCCAATTTACAGGCCCACCCAAGCTGCTTTTCTGTATGAACAAGCAAGCAACAGGTGGCCTCAGTGAGCAGCAGCCAGCCTAGATTCACAGCTTGGCTTCATCTAGACGTCTCCAAGCCCAGCACAAGTACCAGCCATCTCAGATTGCTTTGTAACTCAGGCAGGGTGGCCCCAGACAAAACATAAGTGGGGGCTGATCTTGGCCTGCCCCACCTGGGGAAACCCCAGGGCCAGTGCACCCATTGGACAACTACAGACCACATCGGAGCACCACCACCCTGCTACTGCACAACTGATTCTCCATGGAGGGCAGAGGTTGGCAGTCAGTGGTCACAGCCAGTCCTTACAGCTGAATGACCTGGCTAAGTCCCTCCCATTGCTCTGCCAAGAGCAACCAAAGCTCAACTATAAGAGAAGGGTGAACTCAGTCCATACAAAAGGCACACCTCGACTTCCCAGCTTGAATGATAAGGGAGGCTGTGCCACTGGACCTTACAGGACACCCACTACATTAGGCCATACTATCAAGTCAAAGCAGCTCTACCTAATACATAGAAACAAACTCAGGGAGGCTGCCAAAATGAAAAGAGACAAAGAAACATGGCCCAAATGAAAGAACAGATCAAAAGTCCACAAAAAGCTAGATGAAATGGAGATAAGCAATCTCTCAGATGCAGAGTTCAAAACACTGGTTATAAGGATGCTCAAGGAACTTAGTGAGGACCTGAACAGCATAAAAAATATCCAGCCAGAAATGAAGGATACACTAATTGAAATAAAGAACATTTTACAGAGAAACAAAGAATGGGTGAAGCCAAGAATGAAATCAATGATTTGGAACATAAGAATGCAAAAAACAACCAATCAGAACAAGAAAAGAGAATCCAAACAAACAAGGATTGTGTAAGCAGGATGTGGGACAACTTGAAACAATCCAACTTCAATTTAGCAATTTACTTCTTAGGGATGCCGGAAGAAGAGCAAGAAATTGGAAATCTATTTGCTAAAATGATGAAAAAAACTTCCCTAATTTGGTGAAGAAAATATACATGCAAGTCCAGGAAGCACAGAATCCCAAACAAAATGGACGCAAAGAGGCCCACACCAAGACACATCATAGTACAATGCCAAAGGATAAGATAAAGAGATGGGGAAGGGGGTTGCTGTGGGGAATGGGGGAAGAGGTCAGGGAACTAAGAAGTACAAATAGGTAGTTACTGAATAGCCTTGGGGATGTAAAGTACAGCATAGGAAAGGGAGGGGCCAAAGAGCTTACACTCAGGACCTTGAACATGAACAAGGGTGGGGGGATTACCTGAATTGGGGGGTGCTGGGTGGAGGGGAGCAAGGGGGACGAAATCAAGACAACTGTAATAGCATAATCAATAAAGTGTAATTTTTAAAAAATGAAGAAATTGCCACGGCCACCACTGCCTTCAGCAACCACCCCCTGATCTCTCAACAGCCATCAACATGGAGACAAGACCTTCCACCAGCTAAAAGATTACCACTCACTGACGACTCAGATGATGGTTAACTTTGTTTAGCAATAAAGTATCTTTAATTAAGGTATGTACATTGTGTTTTAGATGTAATGCTATTATACGCTTAATAGACTACAGTATAGTTAAAATGAAACCTACATATACTGGGAAACCAAAAAATTTATGTGACTCCCTTCTTTGCAGTATTTGTGTTACTGTGTTGGTCTGCAACCAAAATACAACTAAATAATAGGACAGAATTGAAATCGAACATAGTGATCATGTCAGTGAGGATTGTCTCACCAATTAAAAAATTGTTCAGAAGGGCTCAAAAATCAAAACTCAACTTGATTATGTATAAAGGCCCTTAAAGAGAGATGGACAAATTTATAACAGGCAAGTAAACTAGTAAGGAAGCAGCAGTGGTAATGGTGATAACCGAAAGTACAAGTAAAACCCAAAAGCATTGTACAAGACAAAGGACAGTTTATAATGCTAAAAACCACACTTCACAACGAAGGTAATAGCTATATACACCAAATGAATCAGCAACAATCTTGTATAAAGCAGGAACTAAAAAATGTAAGTAGTAAAAGGAAACACTAAAAATAGAAGACTAACAGCACAACATAGGTGTAATGGACAAAAAACTGGGGTACAAGATCTAAATTTAAGAAGGCAGATGTTAAAGTATATCCATCACTACCCTATAATAACAGAGAAAATACTTTCAAAGAGTATTCTCAAAAATTGTTCACGTATTAGGAAAACATCAGTAGGTCCCATACAGAAAACAAAAGCAAAAGGGCACTTAGACCTTGAAATTTAGAAACCCTTTTATAATTTAGAAACCCTTGTACAGCAGGTCCTAGAATGACATCGTTTTGTTCAGCGTTGTTTTGTAACATTGATGAGGAAAAACACTGATTCCCTGCTGAGTTTGCACATCACGCCAGGTGGATTGGCGTGTCTAAATAGAGTGAATGCGGGTGTGCCCTGCAGTGAAAGGGTGTCCTGTCTGGACTTGGTTCCCGCCCTGTGTGCTGCAGCTGCCAGACGGACTGCACACACCCTCCACCCGGAACTAGAATAGTGGGTTGGAAATTAATTACTCTCAATATATGTGTAGCTCACATTTATTTCACTGTTTAATATTAGAATTGTTTCGGGTCTTCAGAAGTTTGGTGGTGTTTTTGTGAACAGAAATAAGCCACAGGAATTTAAATCTTGTTTATATCAATTACCCTGTGGTAATGTTGGTTTTGTTATACATAGTTTCACTTAAAGCCCCAGCTTCCAAAAACCTATCAACATTAAATGAGCACATATATACCAGAATGTTAGCAACTCTATTGCAGTCAAATCCAAATGGAGAGTGAATAAACATCTTGATAAAGTACAATATTACAATTAAAACTAATAAACTGTTTACACATGCAGTAACATGGATAAATCTTAAAAACTGTGCTGAGTAAAATCACCTATAAAAATGTCAATACAATTTTACCCCATATGTGTAAAACCTTAAATATTAACAAAACACGTACAAAATTTAACCCATGGTGCTAGAACGCTTCTAGGGAGAGGAGAGGGATATATAGACTGGGAGAGGTCATGAGGTAGCTTTTATAAAGTGACAGAAAAACTCTGCATCTTGGCAATGTACTTAAAATGATGCCTTAATTTAAAAAAAGAAAAGCTTAACTTTGGAGTTAAAGAGGAATGCTAACAAATTCCAGGGTTCCTCAAAAATGGTAATGAAATACTGTTTCCATACCTGTGGAATACATAAAAAGCAGTGAGCAGTGGGAAATTTATAGTCAAACACCTGTTTAATTTTAAACAAAATTTAACTGAGTAAATTTTAAAGATCTTACTGGCTTTACTCAGCAATTAATAAATTGCTTAGCTTCCAGTCTCTCAGAAAAGAGCTCCAAAGATAGATTTTTATAGACCAAAGTGAGCCAGGAACAAGGAAGTTAAATTGGGCATTTGCTGATGGGTTAAAGCAGGTATTACGTCCCTTAATAGAGCAAAGGGAAATCTTAGAGCTGGGTCAGGTAACTTGTGCTGAGCAGGTAAGTACTGATAGGTTGACCTTGGCCTGCTTTTTCTGAGAGACCGGAGTATAGAAACTTAGTTACAAAGTTTGGGTTTGCTGATGTGTGGTTTATCATGAGCAACTTCATCTTGAACCAAATCTTGTTACTTTAACATAATAAAAATGAAAGTAAGTTCCTACTAAGAAAGGAAAACACAAAGGAAATAAGATTAATGAGTTAAAGAACAGGAAAACTATCAAAACGATTCAGTGGGGAACATTTCACAAACTATATCACTGGCTACTTTAATCAAGGGAGAAAAGAGAAAAAATATACAAAATAAGAAACGACAAGGGGAAAATAACAATGCAGAGGAAATTGAAAAAAAACATATGCAGCTATTTTGCACATTTCTCTGAATAAATTGGACACACACAGCAACTAGGTCCTTTTGAGGGGAGAAGGAGGAAGGGAGAAACATCAGTTTGTTTTTCCTTTTATTTATGCATTCATTGGTTGATTCTTATATGCACCCTGACCAGGAATCAAACCCACAACCTTGGCGTATCTGGAGGATGTTTTAGACAATTGAGCTCTCTAGCCAGGGCTAAATCTTCATTTCTAATACCATTCCCCACTAAAAGAAACCAAGTGTTTTGGGGGAAATGGTTGATTCAGGAACATGAGGGTAAGATAAGCCTGGACTATCATTATATCAGAAAGTAAACTGTTTTTTAAAAAATGGCAGGAACATGTCAGATTGACACAGGAGTCAGCTTGATGGGGCTCCCACTGGCCAAATTTAGGACGATTTGAGCCCTCAAGTGATTCAGGGCAATGATGAATTATAAGCCACTGAAGCATTGGAATCAGTGAATTGGTATCCGTATACAAAAAAGAAGTATATTTCTTACACAAGGGTGCCAGTTGATGAATATGGGAGGAATTCTGGTGTTGGAAAATCATAAAGATTGGGCAAGAATCTACATATGCAAAAAACTGGGGTGGAATTTTTGATCCAAATATTTGCATAGTCTTTAAACGTCTCCCCATAGGTTCGTTATTTAAAAGAGGGGAAATAGAAAGGAGAGCCAGACCACACCTAGACCAAGTCTTAAAACTTAACATCACCAATATGAGGCAGATAAGCATCATGTAATCTAGCATTGCTACCTGAGAAAGAGCACCAGTTGTATAGTATTTCACCTGGGGATATACAGCCTGAATCTAATCATGTGAAAGCCTCAAATACATAATGAAATTTTGTTTTAGGAAAGAAGAGGAAAGCTGTGTGGAAGTATTCCAAATAATTTGTGTAAGGTTTTAACTACAAATATGGTTTCTTTGCCTATTCAGATTATTACAGTTATTTTCCTATTCAAGTAATTGTTCTTTTGTGTGAGGTTTGGTTTTGTGTCTTTCAATAAATTTTCCATTTCATCTAAGTTGTCAGACTTACTAGCATAAGGTTGTTACTAATATTCTTAACTTTTTAATACCTGTAGGACCTAGGGATGTCACCACTCATGATAATGGAAAATTTGTGTCTCTGATAAATCTCAAATCAGAGATTAAAAATCTTGTCTTCTTAAAGAACCAGTGTTTGCTTTCATTTCTTTTTTTTATTTCATTGATTTTCACTTGGAGCTTTGAATATAAATTTTCTGTTAAGGTTTTTTTTTCCTTTAGAAGTTTAAAGACACTACTTTTATTAATCTCACCATTGAGAAGCCCAATGATTTCCTAGGTCCTTTCTCTTTTGATGTGGCATAGTGTTTTTCTTGAAACTTTTTAGTATCTTTAATGTCAGAGTTCTGTGATTATTATGATGTACCTTGGTGTAGATTTTAAGTCATTAAACTGGGTTTGCATAGTCTCAATACAGAAACTCTGTCTTGATCTTGGATATTTTTGTTGTTGTTCCTTTAAATAACTTTACCACCATTTGCTTTGTCTTCAGTATCTTTATTCTTTGGATTTTGGATCTTCTGAATTTAATTCTATCTTTTATATTATGTAGCTTTTCATCTCATGTATACACACATACTCACTTTTTTGAACAATTTTTCCTTGATTTTACTATCCATTTGTTGAATTTATTATTTTGCCTCTATTTTTAAGTTGCAAGATCTACTTTGTTCATTGATCACTGATGGTATCACCTATTCTTACGTCTCTGATGAATTAATTTCATTTTTTGAAGTTTCGCTCCCAGCAAAACAGAATCCTTTAGATTTCTTTTTTTCCTGAAGATTTATTTTGGTCTCTCACATTCTTAGAGGTCTTTCTCAAATGATTGGTGTTCCTTGCCTGTTTGTTCTTATTTAAGGTTAGTTACTAAGGAGCTGTATGGACTGCATGAGCCTGAGTTGGGCATGTTGACTAGTGAGATTCACTGTGGTGATAGGTTACTTTTTAAATCTCTGGTTTCTGCAATTTTAGTATGATCTCTTTAGATGTGGATATCTTTTCATTTTGCTTCATATGTATTGTAGTTTTATCTGTGAATTCTACTTTCATTATTTCTGCAAAATTTTCAGTCAGTATCTCATTCAACCTTCCCTTTCTCCATTCTCCTTATGCTCTCCTTTGAGAATTCTTTTTAAAATATATTTTATTGATTATGCTATTACAGTTGTCCCAGTTTTTCCCCTTTTGACCCCCTCCTCTTGATACCACCTTCCCTCCAGCAATCCTCGCCCCCTTAGCTCATGTCCATGGGTTATGCATAAAAGTTCTTTGGCTTCTCCATTTCCTGTTGTTAACATCCCCCTATTTTGTGCCTACCAATTATGCTTCTTAATCTCTGCACCTTTCCCCACACTCTCCCCCTTCCCCCTCCCAGCTGGTAACCCTCCAAATCATCTCCATATCTATGATTTTGTTCCTGTTCTGCCTGTTTGCTTAGTTTGTTTTTTTATATTCAGTTGTTGATAGTTGTGAATTTGTTGCCATTTTTATTTTCATAGTTTTGATCTTCATTTTCTTAAATAGGTCCCTTTAACATTTCATGTAATAATGGCTTGTTGATGATGAACTCTTT